GTTAAATTAATAAAATCCAACTATAAATTAAGACTTTTTTGATTTAAGTTTTCAATTTTAATCCTAGTTGAACACACTTTCCACCAATTAGAGAACCCCATTGAAAAAAAAACCTTGCATATAAACTTATATATCAAACTATCATCTTATTAGGCTTATCCTACAACGTTATACCTACTTGTCCTTACCCTCCTTTTATACTTCATATAATTATAAACATTTTTAGTGCTAAAATGTAGCACTATGAAAATATATTGCAGGTTATAATATTTATTGTTTTTGTATTTTATATGACATATATTTATATTTATATTTTTGCATGAATATTTATTTAGATTCAGAAATCGTGGTTTAATATATTTATTATTGCTGAATCTGAGCTTTGAATTTGGCAGGGCACGAGTTCAACTCCTGGTACTTGCAGTTTTAAAAATTTATATACCAATAATCAAAAAGAAGAAATAATTTTAAGACTACTGATGATGTGTATTTGGGAATACTCGAAACAGCTCTATGGTCAGTCAAAAATTCAATTATAATAAAATAATATAAAAAGAATTTTTGTTGTTGTAGTTCACTACTTTTCGAAACCTCTCTATTTATTATATATTGCAGTTGTATGTTATGAAAATAGTTGTTTCATAGATTGGTATAGATTGGTGCCCTACGCAAATGACACTGCATTTGGAGTGAGCAAACGGTTCTATGGTGCTTGGTAGCCCCTACTGAATATGAAAATATGACATTAAACTTTTAAGTGTATTATAAACCACTAAAATTGCAACAAAATGATTTAGAGGGCAAGAGATCAAAGTCAAACCAGTCTGCAATTACGGCAAACTACAGCGTTTTAGGAAGGGTAACATCATGACTACTTCGCACTGTGAGGCGTAAGGCTACCGAGCTAATCTTTGAAATAGAAACTAATTTCAACTTTCTACATAATTAGATACCAATAGGGAAATGCATAAGATTCTATGCAAATTCACGCAATTTTCTAAACAATTTTCCACTCTTTAAATAAATTGTTTTAGTACAAATTTTTGACTAGTTTCCGATTTCAGAGATACACCAATATTTTGAGATATATTACGTGTAGTTTTACTGATATCGCTCTTAAAATTTGAAAAGTTCTACAATATATGGTAAAATTAGTATAAACTAGTTGACACCAGATGGCGCATATATTTTCTGTGGGTGCGATCAATATGGGAAGTATACAATTTCAAGCTCAATATCTTGAAAAGTAAGTTAGATATATTAAGTTTTGGTGCAGTTGAAAAAGTGGTTCAATATAGCTGATTCTGCTATAATTAATAATAGTATAATTGGAATTACCGCAAACTTTTTTTATATATTTGCTATATACGTCACTATTATTTATCATACATACTACGCTACTTAAGCTACTTTATTCCAAATTCGTTTCTCAGAATTAGTGTTATAATGCAAATATTTAACTGAGTTAATTTTTTAATCAGATAAAGTTTTAATTTTAAATTTCAATTGGATAAATTTAAATTAATCCGGTACTTCGTTTATTTTGCCATAAACAAATTTTTGAAAATATAATTTGCGACTGCCCTAAAGTATGCTTTTAATTGTAACGTTACGGAATAGCCGCTGTAAATAAATTTTTACCTTAAATTTACCTTAAATGAAGTTGTTAAATAAGTTAAGCACTGCATACTTTTAGGTCATTTTGGAAATTGAATGCTCGTCGGGCCAAAGTTGTTCAAATTCCATGGCCTTTAACTGCATTTGTTGCTAATGGTTTCCACGTCAAGCATTTGGTCAACTTATGGTGACACCTGTCACTTGAATGTTTCAGAAGGCATGCGCCGAAATTGCTCCAAAAAGCCATGGAAATGCGGTTGAGTTTGTTTACAAATTCTGATTAAAGCAAGAAAAAAAACAGCGAAGCGTGTATTTCAGTAGAGTTTGTTTATTTCGTCAAAAAGTTGTGAGGTCCGAAACCGAAGTGTGGAAAATAAATTTAAA